TTGTAAGCTTGAGAGCTTGTATATTTTTTACCCTTAACTTTGCTTATATTTTTCCAAACCTCTCTCCAGTCTACTTTGTTTTCTTTGTAGATTGTCTCAGCTCATTTTTTTATACTTTTTAAATTTTTCTATTCAGTATCAATACTTAAATCAGTAAGCTGTGTTACAAAACTTCTTGTTGTATTATCTACTCGTATTTTTTTCCATTTTAACTCAGCGATTAATTACTTGTTACAGGGCCATCTTAGATTTAGAAGCAAGGGACTATTTACTCCTTTTTTTGCAAGTTTGTTAGCCTTTTCATTGCCTTGCACCCCACTATGTGCTTTGATCTTGTTGAAACACACTCTTAGTTCTTTAAGTTCAATTGTTCTCGATATTTGTTTTAAAAGACTGAGATTTTTCTTTTTTACTATATCGCTTGGCTTGGTTTTGTTTTGGCTTGCTTGTACTGCCTAAATCAATGCTGCGCTATCTGTATAAATATTTACTAAAGCCTTGTTTGGAGCAGTTAATAAGGCTGACCATATTGCACCCAATTCAGCTTTAGTTGATGATAACCAATCTTTTATAGCTCCTTTAAAATCTGCTATATAGTCTTCACTCTTCTTGGCTCTATTTTCTGTGAAAGCTACCTAACCTATTCACATTTTCCTTCTTTCTGGTTCTCAGTTAGGTTCAATAAGAACCCATTAGTATAGAAGGATATTTTTTTGTATGGCTTTAGTTGTGTTGCTAGTTGTTTTAGCTCCTCTTTTATTTGTTGTCCTTCAAGCGCTTGATCAATTATTTCTTTTTCTATCAGGTATATGAGAATTTTTTCTATCGGGGACTTATATTTCTCACTATTGCAGCTTTCGAGCATATCTGATCTGAAGTGTGTATCTATTAGGCAGCTTATAAAGACTACTAGCTTCCGCATATGTATTTGGAAGTTTACTTTTTGTACAAGGTTTGGGTTTATAGCAACTGTTTTGCTTTTTAGCTTTTTCTTCTTTAAACATGTTCCTGGTATTATGTTTTTACTCATATTCTGTTCTTTTTTTTTTTTTTTTAATTTTTTTTATCTAATTTTTAAAATAAAAAAAGATACTTTTTTTTTAAATAATTATTATAACTTTATTTATTTCTAATACAGTATAGTGGTTTGTTACAAATACTATGTTATTTTTTTTTTAGTATTAAAGTTATCTTTTGAATCTAAGAAGTTTATTATTAGAAGTTTAATTTCAGTTACAATAAGAATATATCAAGCCATATATACACTTTTAGTATCTAATTTAAGTAGTTTGCCTAAAGGTTTTATACTATTTGCTATACTTGCAACCCAACTATAAAGATGTCTATTTAAATCTAGATATGATAATTTTATATAGCAATAACTATCAATTATGAGTTTTCTTATATCAAGAAAATTCTGGACTAAAAATCACTATAGATCTTTTCCAATCAAATTTCAAAGCCAAAATATTAAATTTTTTTAAACTTCTAGTGATAATTTCTCAGTAACTATTCGATTAAATTTAGTAAAATAGTTTATTTTGATTTTATATACAGTCAAACCCCCCTAAATGCACTTTCTCTAAATGCAGCACCTCTCTAAATGTATAATATAAATCTGGCCCATAATGGGACCTATAAATAAATGCATATTCTTTATTCTGTAAATGCACGCTATTTTTTTGGTCTGTTTATAATAAACTCCCTCCATAAATACATTCACATAATTTTGGACCAATCAAATTCATTTGACTTTTTAATAGTTTCACATAATTGATCTATAGTACTGCACCACGAACAATAAAACATATATCTAATTTCCCATTATTGTATTATAATAGGGATGTAAAAAAATGAGTTAAACAGCTTTTTAGAGGTTTTAAAATATTTTAAAAACTATTGACTCTGAGACAATAATTTGATTAAAACCATTCTCAAGTATATCACTCAATGGATTGATAAAGATTGCTTATATATTACTTTACATTTTAACATATCACAACAAATTTCTAACTAGTCTAAAAAAATATCCATAACATTTAACCAAACAGTAATGAATATTGCTATTCTATTTTTCACTTATATAAATTTAAGATATATTAATATAGTACATATATTTAATATTATTATTAATGTTCAAAAAAAAATATAAATAAATTTTTTTTTCTTGTTGCTACAAAGCAACTTTTGCTAATGATTCTATAAGTTGTTGCCTTGCAACAAAAGTTTAATATTGATAAAATCATTAAAGAGAGAAGCCAATATAACCAAAGCTGAAGCTTTGGCAGTTATTTGAATAGAATTTTTTTTATTAGATTTTTAGATATTTTAAACAGCATACCGAAGATTATGAAAAATAGAAAGAGTATGCTCAAGTATTTAATTCTATAAATGTTGCTATTGATTGTGATGCTTGAGCATCATCATGATTATTTTTTAATCAATTGATTCAGATACTTGAGAATGGTCTAAAACTGGACTTTCGCTTCTAATTGTTAATTTAGCATCAGCCAGGTTCATGTTACATTTATTGATCATAATTGAATTATTTGAAATTTTGTATCATATCAACTCTTGATTTTTTTATCCTTATTTATTATGCTTGGAATCTATATTTATGTTTTTTAAAGTTTATATTCAACATGAGCCAAATAAATGATTAATATGAATAACATAATTTGAAAGATCATGAGCTAAAAGGAATAATTAATTGTGAATGAAATAATTTAAAAGTATTATATAATGGTAAATATTATTGTTAGTTTGGAAACTTGATTTTTATTGACCTTAACTCGATCAACTAATAAATAATTTTTTTATTTATAGGCCAAATAAATAATTAACGTGAATGAAATGATTTGAAGAGTATTATGGAATAGTAAGTAGATTTGTGAGTCAGTTTTCTGATTTTAATTTTGATAATAAATATTGTTTATGTTCAGAGTTGATTAAAACGAATGAAATAATTTACCATATATAGAGTAACTATCAAAATTTTAAGACGGAACTCAATATTTTAAGATGGAACTAAATTCCTTCGAAAAGATAATCTTGAACTTCTTAACAATAAAGAAGATTTTGATGTAATTATTAGTGAATATGCTTTAAATATCAAAATCTTTTATACATATTCACTAATCTTAAAACAAAGGTTCTTATATTATTTTAAAATAATAGAGTTGAATGAAATGATTAAGACAAATGAAATGATTTGTAGGGTATTAATTAGATGGTTGATTTGTAATTCAGGTTTGCTAATTATGATCTTTATATCCAGAGCCGAATGAAATAATTAACATAAATGAAATTATTTGAAGGGTTAGACTAGTCAAAAATAAGGCTTTTGTACTTAATATTTTAATTTAGTGCATTATTAATATATAGCATTAAAGAATTAATAAAACTTTTGTAGATTTAGGCTGTTCTTAAGTATCTAAATCAATTGATTAAAGAATGATTATGATAATGCTCAAATATCACAATCAATGGCGATATTTATAGAATTAAATACTTGAGTATATTCTTTTTCTATTTTTTTTAATCTTTGTTATGTAGCTTAAAACGTCTAAAAAAAATCCAATAAAAAAAATTTTGTTCAACTGACTGCCAAATCTTTAGCTTCGGTTATGTTAGCTTCTCTCTTTAATGATTTAACCAATATTAACCTTTTGTTATAACAGCAGCAACTTATAGAATCATTAGCGAAAGTTGCTTTGCAGCAACAAGAAGTAAAACCAAATTTATTAAGCTTATATGAGCAAAAAAGCATTCATTACGGTTTGGTTAAATATTAAAAGATAGGTTGTATTAATTACGTTCAAATTAAGATGTCGATTATTTGTTCTAAAAGCTTCAAGCATTAAAAATAAAGTGGCTATCTTTTTAAACCGATTTGAAATTTGTTGTGAAATTCATCATTTATTATGTTTAATATGTTAAAATATAAAAGTAATGCTTGAGCAATTTTTATCAATAGTAAATTTTTGGAAAAAAAAGTGGTTTGTATCTTATTGATTTGTTGATCGAATTGGTAACTTACTTGATTGATTTATTTTTTTTCCAACTAATTAAAAATTTATATCTGATTTATTGAGTAAGATGCTTAAGAATAGCTTTATGCAAATTTTGCACAATCTGATTAGTAAATCTATATTGTATTAAGTACTGTAAAATGCTGCACTGACATACTGTATAAGGGGAAGACGACTCCAGTATATGATAAAGAAAACCAATACCAATTTTTATATTTCAAATTTGTATGAAGTAAAATGCTATATACATTAATTTATTAGTTAAGTACTGTAAAATGCTGCACCAACATTCTGTATAAGGGAAAAAAAGTAACTCCAGTACATAGTAAAAAGAACCAATATCCGATTTTTATATTATAAAATAACTTAACCAAATATTAAAGATTTTTTTCTTAAATACTGTATTTATTTGGCAAACGGATTGTTTAATATTACAAATTAATTGTAACTTTAGCTTACATAATTAAAAAATGAAAATAAAAAATACAAGCAATTCTCAATATAAAGCCTAGCCAAAATTTTCTAATTAAAGGCTCTTGCATTATTGCGGTTTGTACAAAGATGTAATTTTCACAGTTCATTTTATCATAAAAAATTAGAATATTTTTTGATTCTAAAATAATTTTTTGATTCCGAATAAACATAAATGTCTTGCCCTAACAAAATTTAAAAGTAAAAATATTACAACAATAAGCCTTAAAAAAATACTTATTTTGGTATTACATTTTAAGAGTGTCCAGAATTCTACAATGCAAATGTGTAAGTATATCCACAGCAAGTTTTTTTTTTCTTAATGAATGTTAAAAAAAAAAAGAATTTAGTATAAGAAAATTATACAAGTTCTGAATGCCAATTCTCTATATAATAAAGTCTTATAATTAGACAAAAAAAAAAGGGTTAATTAATAAATGATCATTTATTATATTTTTGTTAAATAAAACCTACCTCTATAAGTATTACAACAGCAGAATGTCTTCTAAAAAACAAGTAAAAAAAACTACTCTTAGTAATGAGCAGAAAAAAGAAATTATTAAGTACAAAGAAAAGAACCCAAATATTAGCTACATTGATCTTGCTGCTTGGATTAAAAAAACATTTAAACTTGAAGTCCATTCGACTACCATTGGGCATCTAATAAAAAATAAAGATGATATTGGTGATAATCCCTCTAAAAAAAGACAAAGAACAGTCTAGTATCCGGATCTTGAAAACATATTACTTGAGTAGGTTTTACAAAACCAAAACAAATTTATAATAAGTAATATGATTTTGATTGAAAAAGCAAAAATTTTTGCTAAACTATTAAAAATATCTGAAAGTGAACTTAAGTTTTCACATAGATAATTGTTTAAGTTTAAAAAAAGACATGGTCTAGAACAAATAAAAAAGCATAGAGAAAATGCTTCCGTAAACAATAATATAGTTGCAATAGCTATTCCTCAGTTAAGAGAGGTTCTAAAAAAATACAATTTAAAAGATATTTACAACATAGATGAAACAGGGTTATTCTATCAGTATACAGTATAACAATGAATAAGTGATGCCAAAAGAAAATCAGACTTCGATCAATATGATTGAAGTCTGATTTTCTCTTAGTATCACCCAAATCGATACTTATTAATTTCTTCTTTTTTTTTATTTGTTAGTCTTGAGCCAGATACCACACTAGCAACTACTTGTCTAAAAAGTAAAAAAAAAGATAAAGAATAGTTAACTGTGGTACTTTGTGCCAATGCTGATAAAACAGATAAATTTAAGCCCTTTGTAATAGATAAATTACCCAACCCATGATGCTTTAAAAGTATCAATTGCAATAGGCTTGGTGTTATATGAGTCAAGCAGTAAGGTATAGATGACGACTATGCTATTTCAAGTATAGCTTAAGAAATTTGATATAAAAATGGCCAATCATAAGGTAATTCTTTTAGTAGATAATGCCAAGTGCTATTTTTCTAGCAATTTAAACCTTTACAACACTACTATCTACTACTTTCCACCGAACACAACATCTCGCATACAACCACTTGATGCTGGTATTATCATGTCTTTTAAATATTACTACAAAAATTATTTTATAAAATGAATGCTTGATCAGTATGAATCTGGAAATAATAACAAATTAAATATTCTTAATGCTATAAAATTTATTGTTTAAGCATGAAATAAAGTGTTATTAAAAATGGTATATATAATACATAGAATGATTACCTTAAAAATAAAATTATTGAAATAGTTAAATTAATTAGCAATAGAATTGAAATTAGGCTTTCTAAAAATTAAAAAAAATTATTAATTATTTGTATAGGCTAAATAAATTAAATAGCATACTGTATCATTACGGAATAATGCTTCAAGATATTATTTCCGCGATAATACAGTAAGTAATTTATTAAAATATTAATTTTGTTAAAATTTAATAATTTCGCTCTATCTAATAGATACATAATTGTTTCTGGCATACAGGAATCCTTCTAGTTGTTTAAAATAATGAAGAGCCTACTAATGATAATGATAATGAGTTAATGGAAGAGATGAAAGCGAATATTGAAGTATTTAATTTTTAAAATACAATGGATCTTGAAGTATATATTAATTACCCAGAGAAGGAAGACACAAATAAAACCTTGAATGAATAGGAAATTTTAACTTTGGTTACTAACATAGAACCCAAGAATGATTCAAATAATGACAATAGTGAAAATGAAGATGATAGTAGAGAAATCTCTTTTATTATCTACCACGAGGCACTAAATGCCATAAAAGTGCTAGAATATTACCTTATGCAACAGAATCTAAGTGATAAAGACTGGTTGGACCATGATCAAGCTTTATTAAAGTTACAAAAGACAATCAGAAAAAGTCGAAGTGTGTCTTTTAAACAAGTAAATCTTGAAACTTTTTTTCAATTGATCAACTGAGTAACTTGAGTTAGAGATCATTAAATATAAAATGAACAATGCGTAAATTAAAAAATAAAGTAATAAAGAGTTATTAAAAAAAAAAAAAAACTTGTCAAACGATATTGATATTGTAATGTTATATAAAAAGTGAAAATAGCTTATACTGTAGTAATAATCATGATCACATGATGGCTGATTTACTGCGATATTATTGGCTGTTCTCAAATTGCAGCCCCCAAATGCACGCATTGGAGCCAGTCCTAATGATGTGCATTTAGGGGGTCTGACTGTACCTGAAAGAAAACAGGAAGTTAGATATACGACAAAAGAGAACAACAGAAAGCAAATTAAACAATGAAATTCATCCCAAAAATGATAAAAATAATATAACACCTACACTGACACTAATGATGACCAGATACCGCACTTAATTGACTAGAAAGAAAAAATGAGATAGTTAGATATATAGCAACAGAGAAAAACCATTAGCAAAATCATAAAATCAAACAATGATTCCACCTACTATAACAGCAACACAGCATAAAACTGTTATAATCAACAACTAGAAAACACACTCAATTATCTAGAAAAAAATTGGGGCTAGATATGAAACAACAGAGAAAAATATCTGAAATTAGAAGTAAAATCCAAGCAAAATCAGAAACAAAAAATCTACTACCCATAATAGTAACACAGCACAAAACAAATACCTAAACCGATTTTAATAACAATACACAGCACGTATCTATTAGAAGATGTATTGAGATATTAGAGCCTTTTGATCAATTATTTAACTTACTTAAATCTTTAATTCTAATACAATTGAAGCTTCTAATTAACACTATAAAAAAATATACTACACGTTAGTACTAGTACCGTAAAAGAACCCCTGTGAATTAGATCTGTATATGAGTGTCATTAATCCCATCACTAGGTATTGGTAGCCTAGAAATAATAAATTGATTGGCTAGTAACAACATGAATGCAATTATGAGTGTTTTAAAAATATAAACAGCATATATCTAACATATAATAAAAGTCTTAGTAAGCTCTGTTAACTCTATTATAAGAATATATAAATCGCAAGATCTATTTAAATAAATGTAAATGTTTTTAAAAACACAGACTGCTGCAAATTACATGTATTTTAAAAATTTACCTTGCTATAATATAAACGCTCAG